CTGGGTCTATTCAACAATACAGCCCTTTCGTTAGCCTCCCCAATCCACGTAAACAGCAACAGAAGGCTCGAAGCTTCAACTTAAGGGCCGACACGCGATCATGGCAGCACCTCACACCATGAACGTCAGTCAGGGCTCAGGCGTGCCCGAAGTCAGGGCTCAGGCGTGCCCGAGCAAATGCACTGGAAGTTTCAAGCATCATGCAAGAAACAACAATTTATTTTAAAGCTTCTCAAACCTATCAAAATGCTCACCAAATGATTCTCAGCGTGGAATTGCAGAAGTGAAAGAGAACCCAGCCAGTCAACCATGCAAGACTCCAGGGTGCCGGCAACTCGCCGAGATGTACTCTGAGGTGACTGCCATCTTCACACCTTCAAAGCGGCCCCATCTGCAAACTTGCTCGGAAACGTGCAATGAAAAGTGAAAGGACAATCACAAAGGACGACCAAATCTTCTTGCACCGTCGACCTGTTCATTTTGCACAAAGACCGTTCACTGTCCGGAGACCTGTTTTACCCCAACACATGCAGTTGCAACACAGGTCAAATGGAGTTGGAGTGGGCTTCCAGGTGCACTGGAGCCAACAGCACTCCAAATTCGCCCTCTCCAGAGCTTGCTTCAACATGTGGTGGATTGTGGAGGTAACATGCAAGTACTAGACTCCTGAATTCTGCAAATAGGGTATATATATATATATATCTGGAGTGGGCTCCTCTACCCCAGTGCAATAGTTGCCGGGAAAAACTCACTCGTCTGCATCCCGTTGACCTGACCACAACGATCAAATGGATCAACTACTTCAGCATGAAGCATCACGTGAATCAAAGAAGCCTGAAACGTCTAGACATGGTCTCACACCGGCCAACCGTCACTGATTCATACCCCGACATCTGAGCTAGAATAACGTGGAAAATCCAAGAAGTATTTGACCGGGTTCCAGTTTGCAGCCCACGAACCGAGCCAGCTGCCTTGCTTGACACTCGGCACCGCTTGGGAGGCGATTCCGCCGAGAGCGAGATGACCTAGCCAAAGTTCTAAAGTTTGCAACAAATTCAAGCATGATATTCTGCACACGGACACCCAAAACCGCCTGAGACTGGGTAAAAAAAAGGGAGTGACTTGCCGGGATGAAGATTCTTCATGACATGGCAGTGAGGCTTCACCTCCTCCATTTCGAGATCACGTCCTTGGATGCACTGAGACAGGGAAGTGGAGTGCTGGTAGATCTCAGACACCACACCTGAGCCAATGGAAAGGATCGACACCACTGACCTTTCTCCGAATAAACTGAGACAATATATTCCGTCGCAGCCAACCGCGAATGCCAAGCGGCCCTGCATTTGCTGCTGCAGTTCCTGCTTGAAGCTGGCGCAAAAATATGCAAAACCGTGACCAAGGTTTGATGCGAAGAGCTGAAAAACTCAGGCGCGGAAACTTGTTGGAGAACCTCATTGGAAGACCTTCCAACTTCCAATCATGTTAACTGTTAATGTTATGCCCTTAATCGCCCCTGATCTTCCCCCCTCCTTCATCTCTGATTGTCTGATGGCAGCCATGTCCTTGGTTTCTGGAGTCTGGGCTTTCCCACAAACACCGAATCATGATTCATCCCCTCAGGGCAACAAGCAGGATACGCACCAATGGCATCCAATTGCCCAAATCAGCCAGAGCTCTCGCACTCGCTGTTCCACTGCCTTCTGTGCCAAGGCGTTTTCTTCGAATCGGCGCTTCTGCTTGAGTAGGTCTTCCCGACGCTTTCCCAATAGCTCCTTGAGCCAAAACAACCTTGTTTCTGGAAAAATCATCAAACAATGACAATGACATTAAAAATGTGTATATATGTCGACTAAACACTCCCATCATTGCCTATGCAGGCAGCAGAATCATGAACACCCAGGACCGAGGCTGCAAAGACCGAGCTCCTTGAGCTCTGCCTCCAGGTCTTCTTGGAGCTTGCTACCTTGGTCCAAACACCAATCCGGATTGACTTTCAGAAAAGGGTTCCCGAATACTGTATGCTGAGAACCGCATCTGTTCGTCTTGAGTCAGGTACAGTCGTCGATCAGTTCCCTGTTGGCGCTGAATATGCCTTCCTCTCGGGCCACATCCTTCAAGGCGTCCTCCACCTGATACACTGTTGGGACACTTTAACTGGCTTTGACCGACCTGCGCGTGGGGCCATACCTGAGCTGCAAGCTGCATTTTCTGTTGCGGGCTCCTGGACAAATGGGAGCAATTGGCACAGAGTTGGTTGCGGGGGTTCAAGTGCGTTTGGATTCTTTCTCATGCCACGCGAAGAACACTCTGCGATCCACCCCACACAGTTTGCACTGCTAGTTTGCAGTCCTTTCTTCGTCCTCCTCTTTGGGTGACACAGGGCAAGCAAGAGCTGCTCCCAGCTGCTCCTGGAATGGCTTGTATGATTGAAATTGGAGTCGGCAAGTTGTAGAGCTGCTCATTAACTTCATCGCTTCCCTCTAAGGGCATTCTGCTGTCCTTAACTTGGGCCAGTTCTGAAGATAGAAACAAATTGCGCGCTTCAGCTTCGGCCAGGCTTTGTCTCAGCTTCGAAAGATCTTCCTCCATCCAGGTCTGCTACTGGTGCTCACACTACATCGTTCAGATTGTACACTTGAGTAGGCATCCATGGGGAAAATGATAGACCCTGATCTGCCTCGCTCTTCTCTTCCTGTCGCACTTCCTCAATTGGGTCCCATCAGTGTAAACACCAACAGTCGCCTGGAACCAGTGAGTGACTGTGCCAGTTGAGGCGCAAGAATGACGATTCTCAGAACGACCCTTTGGAGTTCCATGGAGTTTGAATGGTGATGGTTCAGAAGTACACGAGAGCTTCTCTATCCCTGTAGCCTGAGAAAAATGCCTAAAGCACAACTGATGTGTTCACAGTCAAGCAGCATCCTCCTTCTCACTTCTGACCGCGGCAACTTCAGCTCCAGCAGGAACTGAGTCTGCCGGCGCTTCCTTCACTTTGACGGGAGCGCCTGCAAAACTCTCATGGGGTGTTTGATAGTTTATGTGATTTGGGGTGTGTCGCCGACAATTATCAGGGGGCATGATATATATATATATATGTCAAGCACGCTCTAGGCTCAAAAACAAGTGGCCAGAAAGTATTTTGCTCACGCTCCGGACGTGGAACACACGGCATGACCATGCCTGGCCTTCCCTCCCACATGTTCGATGATTGAAGGTTGAAGACACGACAAAGGCATACCTCAGATGACTCGGATGGCAAAGACAAAGCGGCCTTGCCCTGGCTCTTTGCGACCCAGAACATGGGCCCAAACATAGAAAAAAAGACTAGACAAAATCCCCTCGCAGTGCATCCCTCAAGTCAATTCACAAAAAGGCATTAGGGTTGAACCACAATAGAACGCACTTTGCAGTTGCATCGATACAGCCGATATACCATGACAGCGCGGCAAGCTGGAACCCAACCAAGAAGTACTCAGACCGTTGGAATCAAAGTTAAAGCCACACACACCAAGTCAGACCACAGGGATGTCGAGGATGTCGAAGCCATATGGCTCTGGCTGTGGGCAGATCTAGCAATTTCAAAACACCCCCTATCAAACAGTTTCAGGATGATTCTTGGGTCATCCCAGCATTTGCCTGCAGCGTGTGACGGCAGGATCAGTGGACCACAAGTCTGAGGATGTCTGAAGTCCGTGTCCCACTGTCTCACAACTTCATGTTGCAACCACGCATGCCATCCTGGAACCACATCATGGTCATGCCATGTCATGCCCGAGTTATGCCAAACAGGCGTCTGAAGTGCAGGATTCTGCTGCCATCTCTTCGTTAGCTGCACTTGATCGCCACTGGCAAGTCCTGGGGAGGAGAAATGCGATCAAATGGTCAGTCTTGAGCGAAGGAAGTACAAGTAGGATGCGTACAGTAGAAGTGACAGCCATCCACAGTTGCAGCTTCGATAGAACTTCTGTGCGGCCCTGGGAAATCCTTACTTAGTCATACAGTAACAGTACCATCAGTTTTCGGTTTTGCACAACATTGGTGATCAAAACATTCTGTATATATAAGTTAAGTTTAAAATTGGCTGCAAAAGCATCGTCATTGGTGTCATCAAGTCCTATCCGGTGCATCCAATCATACTTTCCGTTATCTTCGCATATTCCTCCGCATTCAAACTTCTTACGGGTTGCAAAAAAAGGAAAACTTTTTGGCGCTGATGCGTGACATTGCGTGACTACATCGTGCACCCCTGCAGCTGCAGAGGGAAAACTCAAGCATGCCTGCACTTCGTACGAACACATGTGCTGCAGCAAAGCATGTTGCTTGTGCTGCTGTTGCGTTTAGCGGAGCTGGCTTCTTGAGGTTGCCTGTGGGCCCCCTATTTTTCAACCCCCCCAGCAAGGAAAACACGAGAGAACGCGTTTCGTCTTTTAGTAAAAACAGGGCCGCCACTCGCGCGTCACGCACCCTATCTAGATTGTTGTATATAATAACTAACACTTGCAGAAACATCCTGTGCTAAGCTCAGGTTCGCGTCGGATGCTTGACCTGCCGGCCATTCAGGAATGTGCCGTTGGAGCTGCGGTCTGTGAGCTCAAAAATATCCTTCTCCGCATTCCATTTCACCTCTCAGTCACAAGAAGTTCTGCCAAACGGCTCAGTCAAAGCTCACATGTCCAGCCTCACACTGAACCGCGCTGACAGTGGCTCCTGTGATCTTGATCCGGCAGCACTCTTTCCTGCCAATCAAAACCTCACAGGTGGTGCTGCTGAGTTCAGTGCAGGGTGACAAAATGCAGCGGAATGGAAATTCAAAGTCCTCACGACTCTCAAAACAAGCATGTAGGTATGTTGGTATTATGAAAGGTATATAAGGTAAGGTATGTGAGGTAAGGTATGTGAGGTATGGAAGGAAGGAAGGAAGGAAGGAAGGTAGGTAGGTAGGTAGGTAGGAGGCAGGCAGGCAGGCGGGCAGGCGGGCAGGCAGGCATGTAAGGAAGGAAGGAAGGAAGGAAGAAAGGAAGGTAGGTGGTAGGTAGTGTAGGCATGTAATGTAGGCATATAATGTAGGTATATAATGTAGGTGGGTAGTGTAGGCATGTAGTGTGTATGTGCACAGTATGTATGTACACAGTATGTATGTACACAGTATGTATGTAGGTAGGTAGGTAGGTAGGTAGGTATGTATGTATGTATGTCGGTCGGTCGGTCGGTAGGTCGGTAGGTATGTAGGCAGGTAGGCAAGTAAGTAGGCATGTAGGGATGTAGGTGGCAGGTAGGCAGGTAGGGATGTAGGGATGTAGGGAGGTAGGTAGGTAGGTAGGTAGGTTTGTACAGAAAGGCTATATATCTCACCTGCATCTTACCATTTGCAACCAAGCCCACGCCAGATCCAATCTCAACGGGGGCGTCAGGGTTCGTCTGCGGCACTAGCCATGCATGGCATGGCGTTGGTGACATTTCCCCAGACCCATCAGTCTACCTACATGTGTATTCTTCGGCTTGTTGCGGCTGTTTGCCGATTCTCGCAGCTCTGAACACATCTGAGCCACTCGCCATCTGCAGAATATGTGTAAATGTGCATCCAGTTGTCTAGTTCAAGCTAGAATACTCAAAACATGCTATGTTCCATGAGGTCAGGCATACGGCCTACATATTTGCTGAACTTATCTGTCTGGCCAATAATGCGGCTGCTGTCCGCGTGTTGCACGCGAAGCAACGCGGAATAGGCCTAGCCTGAGAGGTTTTGAGCCAAGTAGGCCCAAAGAAATGCTGGCATGTTCTTCCAGCAGGTGGATGTTCAACGACTGCCATATCCTGAATCTAGACTACGTCCCGTGAGTGTATATAGCCCCGCTCATTCTCCTGCCTCACGAACTCAAACATCTTCAGATTCAGATCTTGTGCGACATAATGGTAAGGAGGCCAAAACAACTTAACGGCAAACTGTAAATTATTGTATGTGTGTGCTTAAATGCTGAAGCTGGCAGGGTGATGCACTAATGTCATGGACTTTGGCGTTAACTCATGCCACACAACTGCAATTCAAAACACAATTGTCAAACTGAGCCTTTTGTCTCACGCAGAAGTTCAACCTCAGCTTGGGCGATTCGGTTCTCTCACATACTCTGAGATCAATAGACCTCCCCACAAGTTTTAACACCACATAATCTGAGCATCAAACAGCAATTTGCCACTGATCTGCCTGCGCAATAAAACCATGCCATTTCGCGTACCAAACGCATCAAGCATCATCGAACCATGTTGCAGTCACAGAGTCACCCAAAATGTTCTCTCTCTATCTCTCTCTCTCTCTCTCTCTCTGCATCTCTCTACAGTGTCTACAGTTGTCACTCTGGCTTTCCTAGGCATCCTTCCCTCTTTTGACACCACGGCATCCCTCTGCTACTCTGTCCAACTCACTCTGCGCCACGGCTTGTGTGTGGAAAGCTCCGGAATCGCCAAGGATTCACCGAACCATCCCATTTGGGAACGCATCCAACCCACCCAACGCACCGGTGCCTGAGCACAAGCCCTCACCACGGAACAGCGTACTTGAGCAGACTCCGGCCTCAGATCCAGTATTGGCAACCAACGGAAGCTGTTGTCAACAAGTATTGGCTCACAAAAGAGATCTTGTTGACCTGTTGGTTGTAGTTGGCAACTCCGCACGCTCGGATAAGCTTGGCATTTTCACATGCGGACACAAATCAATGGTCCGTGCCCCCTTCAGACAGCTGGCTTTCAGCAGAATCCTGACAAAAGGCTGCCATCTGGAGTGCGGCAGCAACGAGAAAGAGGTTGCACAAAGACTTGGATTTGTCATTCGCAAACAACTTGCTCAGCATTGTCTGACGCGGCTCGCTCCCCATTAACGCAATAATGCCCACCTCTGTACATGTTCTCCTTCCAGCTGCCAGGTCCACAAATATCGGCACGCCTGGCATTGCAGTCCAATATGAGTCCGCAAAATGTTCGCAACGAGCCTTTCGCAAGGCGAGTGCAGGTGAGACCCTTCGTTGACAGTTCATGATGGTTCGACATAATTCATCTCAAAACATTGGCCCAAAAAATTGCGTTTGGGTCCAAAGTGTTCAGGTCACATCCTTCTGTCACCTTGCCTCGAAGTCTGGCAGTGCCAGATATTTGCGAGTGGGAACTGTGTTGGCTTCCTGCAAAAGGAAATCGCAAACACAAATCCTTCAGTTGCACTCTGCGGCAGGTCAAAAATTTCGGGTTCCGTGTGTCCTGGCTGTCTCCCTTGGACTTCGGCCAGCTCATCGAGCTTCGACACCTTGCTAATGCCGCGCTTGATTGGCATGTTTCAGGGCAAGGGAGGCAGTATGAGGCGGCTGTTGTAGAGCCTGCAAAAACACATTAAATCAAGTAAAACTACTATATATAATACATTATAATACAGTATATATATATATATCTATATAAAATATAAATTCGTTAAACTATTAAATCTGGTGTGCTCCTTGACTCGAATCAAAACCGAACACTTCTGCCCGATGCCTCTGGATCTGGCAAGTCTTCCACCACCTGCCCGCCGGCATGGCCATGAGTGAAGGACCAATCCCAGGCCATCCTCTTGCTAACTGTGTAAGCGAAACAAGCTGGAAATCTCCATGTCATGTGAAACAAACTGGGGCAGATTGAAGTTTCAGCACAAGCCCCTCTCCAAAGCTCCAAAGGTTGGAAAGATCAAAAATTCCAAGCTCGGTCCAGAGTCAAGCCTGTGTGTCCGCATAGTGGAGAGCATCATAGCCTGGCAGCACAGTTCTGGGGCCGAAGCGGGCTTCTTGCGGAATGGATCGTAGCCGTTGGCTTGGCATGTCCAGAGTGCCACGTGACTTTTGTGGTGCGGGGCCTGTCGACGGTCTCTGAACGGCAAGGGTCCGACCCAGGAGCCGCCTCCATCGGATGGTGCCGCTGTTGCTCCAGCGTCGCAGCGCCCTGGACATTTCTACAGCCGAGCGGCTTGGCAGAATCCAACACTTGGGTGCCGCATCGATTGCGCTGATCCCTCTCGCAATGACAACACCCATGCAAATGCTGAAAAGTCACATGAAGGATGAGTGATCAGCAGCTATCAACCTTGTTTTGAACTCAACCAAGTGGGAAATCTGCAACCAGGTGGAAAATCGGCATCTCCACGGCGGCCTCTACTCCAAGAAGCCACTTCTGGGGCCTAAGGCGCAGTACAGCTAGGCGGCGTGCAATCTGTAAAGCATTTCCGACGACGCGAGACATGGACATGAGCCACGGTCAATTTTACACGGCCTCTCGCCTAGCGAGGCATTTCGTCCAATTCTCGGTGCTCGTTCGGTTTTCGTTCAAGAAGCATAGCAAGTCCATCGTTCGGATTTTGAGCACGTCCGCAAAAATCATCAACGGGACATCCAAAAGGAGCCGCTTTTACCATAGTTTTGAGATGTTTTGAGCATGCCTCACATAAGGAATTCATCAGGAGTGTGGTTTTCAAGTCGGCTTGAAGATTAAAATTCAAGCAAATTCAAGCACAAGTAAGGGTATGGAAATGTATGGAAACAACAGCACGCGACACTCGTGTTACAATTCCTTCAGAGACCTGAACTGGAGCCTCTTAAAGCACCATGCCGAGCCTCGTCAATTTGGGTGTCGCCCAAAGGCCCAATCTGATCCTGCCCAACAGGGTGCGGGGTTTGAAAAGTGTGCATGAAAGGACTTTCTTAAAAGGCTGTTGTGCCCCCCTACCTAATAGCGATGGCCTCCATTGTGGGAATGCGGGATGCGTTCTTGAAGTTTGTTTTGATGGCAAGTGCGTTCCTCTAACCAACCACCGGCAACAGGGGAGCACCTCCATGGATTCGCCATCCAATTGGGAATCATGCAATGTGTGGCTGTCTTTGCCTGACAGTGCAATCCGAGGGCTGGGTGCAAAGGTCAGGCGGAAACCACAGCTGCATGGGACATAAATAAAGCTTAAGATCTTCAGCTGTGATTGACACGAGAAGAATCCACCTACTGCACATGTGTTGAAGGAGAGGCAACAGGGAGAGATAGAGAGAGGGAGAGGAAAAGAATAAGACACACACAGAGTATCACTGAGTAAACTAAATTAAAAAGGAACCTCTGCCTGCGGTCGGTTTCTCGTCCCGCCGTGGAGAGCGAGAGCGGCTGCACGCTGCAAACCGGCCTCCGCTGGGAATTGCTTTCACTCTCTGACGCGGAGCTCACTGTCTGCAGCCACCGACCGTTTCTCCTCAGGTCGGAGTGGCTGCTCTTCACGATTGGCATTGCATCGCTTAAAATGGGTCCAGCGGCACTTCTGGCCGCCCCGAGCTACAAGAACGGCTCTGTAGTACAAGAAGATTGGGGGTCAAGCCACCTGAGCGTCATGAAGTGGAAACCTGCAAAAAGCAAGGCTCCAAAAGCATTCAGCATTCAGCATTGAAAGATCGGCCATGGCCTGGGTGTGCCTGGTGGCTTCCAGGGCTCCGCTGCAGCCTGGAGGTCCACAAATATAGTTACTCCCCAAACTCTGCCGTCCTAAGGCCTACCCTGTGTGAATCCCACCTTGCTTTCAGAGGACTCGACTGACGAGTCACCAAGTTAGCAAGGCCCTTCACTTTCAGACGACTCCTCCGAGGAGTCCTCCACGTAGGGTTTTCTTGGCTCCTGCAATCCCACGACAAGGACCGCTAGGATTTCCGTTGGATGACACCCAATTGAGGTGATGCCATAAACAAACCAACAAGCGGACTATATAGTGATTGATGAGGGTGCACACGGTGTGCTGCAGCATGCTTGGCTTGTCATGCAGCTGTGACATGCTATGCCGCTTCCAGCAGCGGATCTTGCAACAGATTGTCAGAGAGAAGAGTGACCTCACAAGAAGCTTGCACTGCCCGCGACACAGTTCATCAGCCTGTTCATCAGCCTCAAATTGCCCTGAGTGAGGCTTGTCCAGCCAGTCTCGCACCCAGCCAAGCAGCCAGAAAATTGACATCACCTGTGGGCGCGTAAACCATAATCCATCACAGAATGACGACTATGTAGGCAATCTTTGCGAGTTTGTGGGGTGGCTGACAATGCATCCAAGCTGCTAAAGGACAAGCCACCAAAATCAGCATGCAGCCCAATATCAGTGTATGCAAGCCTGGCAGTGCTGGGAAGCACATGCAGCCTACATCAACTGCTGCTGACATAGTGCCATAGGATGCAACATGGTGCACGATGAAGTGCAAATTGTTAACCACCATATTGAAACAAAGGATTTCACAACTACGCATCTGGAACTTGCCTTTGTGCCAGTCGAAGACTGCATAGATGGGGCACTCATCTCTGGGGTACTTGGGGCCTGCACGGCACAGCTCGGCACACTGAGAACCAGGGGCGGCGGCCCCTGCATCACAGCCACATCCTGATCTTGAGGGCCAGCTATTTTGGACAAGCAGCAGCCGCCAAAATTTCCAATACGCAACAAAAAGTGCAAATAAGTCCAGGTGCAGTAGACGACCTTGGCAAACAAGTTGGAGCTAATATAGCCAGAGGGGGGATCACGTGGCATGGCTGGCGGTGGCTGTATGCCCAATTTCTATCTTGGCGGTCGATCGCTGAAGGAAAACGGGCACAATCGTGCTCCCATCCAATGCCCAAAACAGGGGCAAGCAGTCTTATGCAAGTTGGGGGCGTGGGGTAGGACTTACAACCAAAAGCTCTGGAGAAGACATCTGGATCATGCCGTTCCATTTGTTTGAAGCAGCTGACTTACTCCGGGGAAATCTTCCATAGAACACGGGTCTCGAAGTTAGTGCTCATTAACATGGCACACCTGCAACGGTGGCCTCCTGGGGAAATAGAAAAGCACCGGTTGAGCCTATGTGGTTGAGGCTATGTGGTTTTTGGAGACTAACATACAACACTCTCAAGTAAGCATGGCTACTTTCTGCAGCGGAACCGCAGATGCTAACATAGAATATGCCTGATGGCCAACAAGCAACGTAGACCACCCGAGGTGGCTCGAAACATGCTTTCGATTATGCCACGTTAGACTCTCCAGCGTCCAACCTTACCCAGATTTCTCCGGTTTGTTTCCGCAGCTTTTCAATACTAACATAGATCCAAATCTTAAGGACACGCACTAGCCAAAAGCAGCCACACTAACACGGCACAAGGATTTTTTCTGTTTTCATTTTTTTAGAGATGTTAGATTTCACCGGTGTACCAGATCTTTCTTTCGAGGAATGTTTCGCATTTCCCACCAAGCTTTGTAAAGCAGACAAGAAAAAACATCCCACTTGATGCCATTGAACCACCAAATATGCCGCTGGCTCCACCAAATTAGTGGCTACACCAAATTATCAGATGCCGCAATCCAGTTGTTGTTTCATGCCTGTATCCATGCTGTGCGATCGGTTTCACAGGATGTACATCGACGTAGCTTTTGTTTGGTTCCGTTATTGCGGCGGTGACTTTGCATATACCACAACATACCAAAACACCTCAACACCCCCTCAATTGACTACCGGCACTTGTGGAAAAGATCTGCCGAGTGGCACCGCACAGCATGAGCCAAACCCACTGCCTCACCCGAAAGGGAATTCTCCTTACAGCTGCTTCGAAGCGGTTTTGATGATGAATGATTATATAATAGGTACTGTCCCAACGGCCTGATCTGAAGACTGCCACAACATGTCAGGACACATAGGCCCGGCATTTTCATTGTACTTACTTCTGTTGGCTCCAAGCATGCCAAAAGGCCAAGCAAGACCTGTCCCACAAAATGTGACTGTGGAACTCCTGCGGAGCAGACTTTTTCTGCGTTCGACCGGGGCTGCCGAAGACCCGGGCCCCCTTGCAGCTCAGTCTCCCAAAGAGAAAGGTCACCAAGACTCCGATGCTTTGAAGTCCGTGGACGTACAAGTTCTCATAAGAGGAGTGATAGCCTGCCGGCCCGAAATCCAAGAACCCCGGTGCGATGCTTGTGGGGGAGCACCCAAGCACTGTGTCAGTGTCAAGCAAGGTGACAGGTAGCAAGTCCTAAGCATCGTCCATAAAGAACCTGCATCTTTAGCAGCTCGTTTGGTACATCTGTACATCTGCTTGCATGTGGAACATGATGTAAACGCAAGATTCTGTCTACAGTAACTGCTTGGAGGCCTGTGTGTGTGTGGCATTGCGAGCAAACCCAAATCCAAAGTGTCGAGAGAGAGAGAGAGAGACTCGAACGAGTATCCGACGCAGCTCGCATGACACTCAAGTAGCCTGGGCGTTTAGCTTTCGCGGATGCCTTCCCAGGGTTGAATGTATCACTACGTGGCGGCCGCGGGCTTTCTCTGGCCTGCTTCCATGCCATCCATATATACACAAGCTTGTGTACTGGGGGGTTCTTGTGCAACATCTTCGCTATGGGTGTTGATGGACATGAGACATGTGCCTACGAACTTCTATTCTGTTGAGCTGCACAATCCATATTGAAAAAACAAGATATCAAAAATGGTCCACGCAAACTGACACAAACATATATGCATAATAAATCGGATTTCATATAACGCGCCCACCACAAAACAAAAGGTAGAAACGTAATTAGTACTCCCGTCTAAAAATTTGTGGCATCGTTTTCACAAATTTGTGAACCTTCTTGTGAACTCGCAGGCCAAAGCGTTGGTGCAGCCCCTGCCTGCAGGAAGGTCCCAGACCGGCTGCTCAAGGGACCAGTACATTGTCACCACCATGAATGACAACCTGAGAGGTTGGCAAGAAGTCATTTCAGCATTGTTTGGAAACCGGCCCACTCCTGTGAACACAAGCTATCTCTGAGCCTAATTAAGGCAAGTCCAACTGCCGAGTCGCGGTAACTGCAGGGAGAACAAGGCGAGAGCAACTCGACAAATTAAAGGCTCAGACTTCTCCTCATATTTCACGCGCAAACACCGATTCAAAAGGAACGTCATGCTGGTGTGCTGCAAAATACAGTCAATGCACCAGGGGCAAGTAGAATCCGATAGAAGGGTAAAGGCTTGAGTGGTCAATGTGATTGCTTGTTGATGGGTGGAGCAGCGATTGAGTTCTGCTGCTCCGCTATCTAACACAGTCCACATGTTATCATTAAATGCCGAATCAATATTTTTATAAATAGTATATGTCTATATATAAATGTATATATATATATGTATAAGTACACATACTGTAAGCTTTGCATAAGTGGATCCCATTGGGTTTGTGTCATTTGCTTCGACGGGTTTGCCATATCACCAGTCTGGGTTGATTACTCATGGCAAGCTGCTGTCGGCCAGTCGTTTCTCAACGCTCTCATGCCAGTCATCGTTGCAGTGACCAGGCAGACGCTGCAAACAACTTGACACCACAAGGAGATATGCGTCAAGAACATCCAGTAGTAACCACCTCCGAGAGCAGGAGTCAGTGGAAGTTACATTTCCATCATCCCATCTGGACAAAAAGGCTAATGCACGGAATCCACTCTCCAAACATCCTCTTTTTCGCCCAGGGGCTATCATAGTATGTGTATATGTCGTAGCAGGCATGGCCTCGGTCCAACAACAAATCCGCACTGGGTGCGACCAAGAAAATCACCCCTCCGCGCCCAGCAGTGACAGTTACTGGCAGGCCCATTACAGTATTTGTGTGCTTTTTTGGGCTGGGGGGGAGTAGAGCGTGAGGAGGCTTTCCGTAGTTAAGCAACACGAGAGGTTTACGGCCAAATGATTGTTGCATGGTTTCTCTGCGAGGTGTTGCAACTAATCTTGGTTTCTCATTTCGAGCTCTAGAAAAATATTAAGGAATCCTATGAAATTTTGGCTATTCCACTGGTCGCTTCTTTTACTCCACTGCCACTCTGCTGGTCGCTTCCATCTGGCATCATCCAACCTGACCGGAAATCAGGCAACCAGGGCTGCAAGGTGGACAGTCCTGTAACCCCAGGCCTGGCCAAGGCAGCTTCTGCAAGCGATTCCTGAAGTATTTGGCAAGAAGCAGGAGCTGAAAGGCTGCGCAAAGTGAATGCTTGCTTGGGTGGCCTGAGGCGAAGTGTCTCAGTAGGGATTGCGCACAGCTCCTGCAACCGAGAAGAAACAACACAAAAATAACATGTCTTTAACAATGACAAAACGTCTCATTGCTAGTTTGCCTCTCCACTGCTTTTATGCAACGCATGAGATTAAACTTTTCTGACATACTGCTTCCCCAGTCTTCCTCAGCCAGCCATATAGGACTGACGTGCTCCATTCAAGGCTATGTCCAGGAATGGCCTAAGAATTTTAGCTGCTTCGCAGCGTTCCCTCTCATCTTCAAAAAGTAGCCCAGGCCCTACACTCAGGCTCAGGATGGCAAGCTTGCAAAACAAGTTGCAAATGGCTCTCTCTCAAAAGTCGGAGCCGAGCTGACATGTGGGCTGCAAAGCCGGTGGCACTGTGTTTAAGCAGACCCTGAGGCCTGGAGCCCTGTGCCCTAAGCCCTAGCGCTGCCCGAAGCCCTGTCACATTCAGGGAGCGGCGCCAAGCCACTCACCACAGGGCCAGCCCAGTCTGGGATGGGCAAGCTGCATAGCCCAGGATGGTTAGGGCAGTTTTGCCGCCAGCAGCCATGGTGCAAAATGTTCAAGGCTGGGTCACAACAAAACGGCTGCAGAAGAAAAGCATGCAATCACAATGCGCAGGACATGCCGAAGATACAGTACCCAAGAATGATTGAAGGATTCAAGGACAGTCCTGTTTTTTGGCCCAATGTCTGGTGCCCAGTGCCCTGCAGCCTGGCATTGAGTACAGTATACCATGGTGCCCATGTCACAAAGACTGCAGGCCGAATACTATAAATTTGCAATTGAACAGCTGGCCTCATACAACAACTCATAAAGCCACACCCCTCCTGCAAAAAGGCCAAGAATATTCAAATTAGCGTGAAAGCAACGCTACAGCTATGCCATATAGAATGACGGGTTTGACTGCACCTCCTGGCCAAAGCAGCATGGACCCATGGATTGAGGTCTGGAACTTCAACAGCATACCAATTATCTCAGCAATCAAAGAACTCCACGGAAGTCTGCACACAATTGACTGGAAGCTGAGGCACTCCGCTTGCGAAACAGGAAGTTCCTGAGCACAATGCTGGCAGCGCTACCAAGCTGCAATGTCATTGATTTATCAAGCATGGTGTACAACAAACATGCCAATGCCGGAAAAAACCGAGACTCTTAAGAACCTGCAGCACTTTGCAAGAAGTGACCGTGACCAGGTCTACAGTGAGCTCAGAAATCAACTTCCTGATCTCTTGCTTCTTGGAAGGCAGTGCCTCTCGGCAACTCTCCAACTGCAGAAGCACTTGCTGCAGCATCTGAGCCGGGTCTGGGCAAGCACTCCAGCATCGAAATGCTTTGGCATTAGTGCCATTCCTGCAGCCCAAGTATTTGGTCAAACTCGCAACCTTTTTTGACCAAATCTTTTGCATTGTGCTGCTAACTTGGCAAACTTGACTAGTCCTTGCTTTGCTGCCAGAAATCCATTCAGAAATCATTCAACCTGATCGCACTCTTGGGGGCTGGCCAACCTCTGCAACCAAAACAAGGTCTGGCATATGTGCACAGGCATCAGCTTGTTGGCCCGCATCTCAAGCCGAGACAGCCTGAGCATTGGCTAATCTCCTAGTACTGATGATGGTCAACTAGGCTTCAAAGATTGCAGAAAAACTGACTGCTCAAAAAGACAACATGACTGGCAAGGGGCATGCCCCCATGCACTTTCCATTCACCATCTACTTCCAGTATCATCTGATGAACGCGGCCATCCAAAAATTGAGCTGTCATGGCTAAGGCTGTCTGCAAAGTCAATGAGTTGATGTCAGTGTTGGGCTGGATAGTGGCCTTTTTCACAGCTGGTACCTGTCAGCCACAACTCCAAACTGCCTGTCAGACATGGTGGTGACAGCCAATGAGCCTGCTTCCGCTGCTTGCCAATGGATCTCCGGACAATGGTCTTGGCAGGTAGCAAACGCCTGCGCTGGCCTGGTCCTCCGGTCTCTCGGAAAAAGGCCACCAAGGCACTGGCCAAGCAAAGACCCTGGTGCCCTGTGCCCCGGACCCACCGGAGAAAGAACTCTGCAAGCCTGGCAGGCAGGTCAAATGTTGGATGCACAGGACTGTGCTGTTGCTCAGTGAGTGCATAGATTGGAAGCATGCCGCAGCATGCCTGTAGTCCCGCACATAGGCACCCATGACAATGAAGCCCAGCTGCTCAGCTGGGTCTAGGGAAGCAAAAGTCTCCTGCCGCAGGAGAGCTCTCAAGGCTTTGGCAGTGCGATCCTGGCCTTGGCAGGGCTGCAAGTCCTGGAAAGCACAATAGGAATTAAATAGGAAAACTTGGCTCAAGGCTGGGCTTCTTTGACACAGTGTGCAGGTAAGAGCCTTGACAGCAATGATGAAATGATAAAGGTATACCTTTTTTCAACTCCAGAAAAGGGCTGCAATGCTTCAGCAGCTCCAAAGGCAAAGCTTTTGGAGAAAATCTGGCAGGCAAACACCGGCTGCGATACAGCAAGTAGGCAGCCATGGTCGCCTGGGCAAGTCAAAGCTGCACAGGTGAAGGGCTGAAAAAAACTTGGGGCAGCCACAGCTGGCACATCATCTGCAGGTAGACCCCGGAAGACAAACTCTGCCAAGGTGGTCAAATCGTTTCCACTAGCACAAAGCTTTCCCGCCTGGAAGCACATGAAAAGAAGGAGGTAGGGCCACCCCCCAATTCACTCCCGGTTCGTACAAACCAAACAAACCCTTCAGTACTCTGCTGCTGCACCCTTCAGCCTCAAATGCTGCATGTGAAAGCTTCCTCCACTCATTCCTTGGCCCTTCCTCCTTCAGCCATTGAGACACAGCTTCCAAAGCAGGAACTGGAGGACGACCAGCCATTGGCCAGCACCTGAGACAGATGCCAAGGGTTGGAAAAAAAACTCTTAGGGTCAAAATGGTTTGCACGAACCAAGGGTGAATTGGAGGAAAGTGAAATGAAAGGGCGTAGCGACCTAAGAATTCACCAATGGATTTCACCACCCCGAGGTGTATTGTATGTAATGAATGCTGTGTGATTTCACATAAGCTTGAAAAGTGAAAAGTAGGATCGCCATGACCTGTGAATACACTACTGGATGGTGAAATCCCAGGGTGTATTGAACAGGACAGTGCAGCTTGCATTTTTTGCTGTCCCAACCCCTGCAGCAATGACCCTACTGTGTTGCTTGGCTCCATGGTGTTGCCAACAACAAAGGATTCAGATCCTCTATCAAGGGCAGTGGAGCCAGACTATGCCAGCAAGAACTAATTGAAATTCAGGCAGCTCACTACTTTCGCAGTGGCTTCAGGGCCACTTTCCCTACACACACCGAGCGCTTTCTTGCTAGTGTGCGAATGCTTTTCAAAAAGTCCCACACATGGCACATCTGCTTGAGAGTCCAAATCTCTCTCTTCTTGCAGCCAGGCTCAGAAGGCAGGCTGCCTTTGGCAACCTTCCAAGCAGCTTTAAAAGCTGTAGCGCAAGCGATGAAGATTTCGCATAGCTGGCGGTGCCTCACCAAGTTGAAACCCTGCAGCCACACATAACCACCTCCCTGGTAAGGCGTGATGTAAGGATTTGACATCACTACCCCCAAGAGAACACACAAAGGTAAGACAAAGGTGCCAAACACAGGCAACTTTCAAGACACACTGTGGCGCTTCTTTGTTGAAACCTGAAACCCTGGACCCTGTGCCCTGGGCCTGCTGCAGCCTAACAACAGCACTGAACTGAGATTTGTCTAGTCAGTCCTGGTCTTGACTTTTAAGGCCTGTGAAGAAAAGCTCCTCCACCCCACAGCTGACTTTCAGAATAGACAGTTGGCGATTGGCCTTGAAGAAATGCAGGGCTGAGAAAGGCACTGCTCAGACTCCAAGGCAAGCGCCAACTAGACTGACCTGAAGCCAGCAAGTTTGTGTAGAGGGAAGGAAATTGACATCAGTGTAAAAGCAGGCAGCAGAATCAGGACCTAAAGCGCTGCACTGTTTCAGTTCATGAGAGTTGGGTGCTGTCATGGTGAGCACAATGTACTCAGCAATGCTCTGTTGTGTGGGCATCACACTCAGGTGCTGACCAGTACTCAGCCACAATGCACCAACCTGACACAGGCAAATTTCAAAACACACTGTGGCGCTTCTTTGTCAAAACCTGAAACCCTGGACCCTGTGCCCTGGGCCTGCTGGAGGAAAACATGACATTGGGAAATGCATGATAAATGCATCAGAATGCAGTTTTCTAAACAAAAGGGCCAGGCGCAAAGAAGCCGGCAAGTCACCAGGCCAGCCTGAGCATTGGCGTTGGCATGGCCAGAAAATGTGCCTGACCTGATAAGGCTCTAATTGTTAATTATGGTGACCTTTCAATTGAGACTGAGACATAGAAGTCACATCCACATTGAATCATAAGGGTATATTAATAATACTAATACCGCATCCCACCCTCCCTTGCCAAAGGGCCCAGCAAAGGTGACAGCAAAGGTGACAGCACCTGCGTGAACAGTGGGCAAACACTGCAACAGGACCATGGCTTGGCAACTCACAAGATAATTTAATGCTATGACAAAAAAGCCAAGCTCCTTAACAAACAACATAATTCAGACAAATTTACGACCAAGTTTGACCAAATTTGTCCTTTTAAACATGTTCCAAGTCACTCACTCTCAACGATAAGCACTCAGTTTGCTGGCGCCCAGCCCTCCTGGATCTCCTGGAAAGTGCCCCTGAAGCATGGGGGCAGATAGGGCCCAAAAACAGGACTGACATCATCGCTTGACAAAATGCAGGGTGAAATCCAGCTTGGTAGCAGCAAAGGGGTAGGTGAGATTCAGGTTCTAGTGACAGAAACAAATAAGAAATGATCTGGCACTGTGCTGCGCCAGCCTCCAGTCCAGATTGAGCCGTGCCCAGGGCCCAGGCAGACCTAGGAACAGCAAGAAAGCGTGTCTACACTGTGGCTATGGTGCCAGCAACGAGGCTCAAGGTGAAGGACAGCTGACACATAATGATAACACAGCAAACAATTGAGTCAGTGTCAGGCATCACCAATAATATTTGAGATGCATGAAATGGCACTGAGGGCCCAGGCAGCTGCGACGGCTTCCACTGCAACGCCTGGCAAAGAAACGCTTCAGTGTCAACAAGCACTGCGACCTAGAGCCCAAACAACTTCAACCCAAGCCCATGGTGCCAGGAGCTTTTTTCTGAATGGCTAGCCAGCAGCAAAAGTTTCACGGCTGCTTGGAAGATTCTCAGCTTGTCAGGTTGCTCAGGCTCAGGATCTCTTGTGCCCTGTGCCCTGAGCACTTCTGACAAAAAGTTGCAGTCAGGCATGGCCTGGGCTCAGAGCCTTGCCCTGCGCCAGCTCTAGACAAATCATGCCTTAGGCCCAGGCATTGTCCTCATGGTCCTGCTCCACATTCACCTTGGGCCCTGGGCCCTGGGCATAGTTCCGAACACGCTTCTCAGAAGCCTGGATGGCCATCATCAAGCTGTCGCTCCACTTGACACACCGCATGAGGTGGAGCTCAAAGGGTTTGCCTTTGGAGTCAGCATGACGGACCATCTTCATGCCAAGCAAAACCTTCTTGCAATAGAGTGCCCGATCCTGCAAGTGTCGTTGGAAGTGGCTCTGGCCCAAGCACCAGGCAGGACCACAAGCCCAAAAATTGAACAGAAACATGATATTTAAAAAAACCAAGCTGCAAAGACATATCCATCGAGCTGAAAGCCAAAGTCATCTTCTGTGTCGCCAGACCAGCCAGCAAAGACAACTTTCTTGTTCGAAAAGACCCAATCCTGTTCGGACTCGTAGAAATCGCCCTTGAGTGCTTCCGCCTTCCAGGTAGCAGCAATGGAATCAATGAACCACTTTGAACCATGGACACACTCTTGGCAAACTTAAGTGTGCAGTATAAACAGGCAAATACATATATATTTATATATTTATGCAATTCTGCGCAGAGCTTGAAACCATTTGAAAACCTCTGCCCCCAAAACCTGCCTGCAAAACAAAGACATCTGTCTTGAAAAGCTTGCAGCCCACATCTGCTGGCACCAGCTTGATGGCATAGAAGTACTGCTCGCTTGATATCCACAAGCTATAGTTGAAGGGCGGCTGCGATCCTGGCAGCGGCAAGCAAAATTGCCTAGTACCAAAGGCAAGATCCCGCTCCACGCGGTAGGGCTCACAGCGCCTAGGCAATGACAGTTGAGGCAGCCAACACATAAAAGGGGCCATCCAGCAAAATCATTAGGCCAAAACCAAAACCAAAACCATCCACTTACTTGTACAAAATTTCTTCTCCCAACTAAGCCAAGCCCAAGCTTCAGGAGCATTGGATGCTGGACAGCAAACCTTATGCCACAGCCCATGGCCAAGTTGATCAAGTCTGTTGTGAACCGCTGGGATGCCCAACATGCCTTCAGCAGCTGAATATTCCTCATTTGTGTGGTCTTGGCAAGGCATTGAAAGAAGCTCCAAAACACCCAAAGATGACAATGGCAATGACAAACACAAAAATCAAAAAATAGAACAACCAGTCCAACCCCCTTTGTCCACTAGTGCCCAAGCGGCCGGTCTTCCAGGGATGTGAAGGCACTCTGCCCAGCTTTCTGGGGCAAAGATCGAAGCTTCTTTTGCTGCCCAAGGCCAGTGAGGGCCAGGAAATGCTCGGCAACCACAGTGCAATCCCATCCATACTTTGTCACAGAATGAAGCACTTCAGTCCCAGGCTCATATGGAAGAGGCCACCCATGCCAGCCTGGCTCATCCTAAGCGATGGGCTGAGAACAAAGGGCTTGTCAGGGCACCTACCAATAACCAAATAGAAAGCTCAGTCTTATGACCTTCCAAGTTTCAAGATGCCGCAGCTCGCAACCATTGGCCACACCATGCAAAGACCAGCAAGCAGCAAGATCTGGTACCCTCCATGCTCCTGGCTCCATACAAACTGATGCAAGAGCTCGCGGACCGCGCTGGCAACCTTAAACAACTTTGTTTCATCCAGAATCAAAAAAACATTCAAGATAGCCCATTCTCATCAATGGGGTGGGGGCAGCTGGCAACAGCAAGTCTCAAATTATCACTGCCAAAGCATGCTAGATCAAAGCCAGGGAGCCACTTGGAACCTGGTTGGGACTTTGTTCCTGTCAGGCATCTGAGCAACCAAGTCCTTGACCTTCTACAGCAGGTCCTCATCTTCAATCTTGAATCCTGGGATGTGACTGGCCGGCCTGGCCATAAGAGGTCATTGAAATTTAATTGCACCAAAACCACCAAATACAAAGTACAGTGTAAGCAACATTGACTGACCTTCAAGCCAAGAAGCGGCAACAAAGCTCACAAATGGAAGCATGTGTGGGAGCCCCATCAGGAAAGAATGAGCTGCGCCATGCATTGAAGCCAGCAAAGCACCAAGTATAGTACTTCTGCGTGTCATACTTCATGCGCAAGAAGTCTTGCGGCCCAGAGAAGAGACTTAGGGTAGTCAAGGTCACATGTTACGAAGAACTGAAATTACAGATGCTACATGCTTCCCTAACCCCCACACCCTCCAAAAAGTAAAGTGCAAATGCTTCAAACTGAAATGCGAAGCCTTGTACAATGCATAATGCAAGGTGCTTGAAGTGGCCCAACAAGTCAGCTGCACTCACCGCAAAAATGCTTGGTGACAAAGCATTGTCCAAGCTCTGCGAGACCAAGTCCACCATCTGACTCAAGGCCTTCTGCCTCTCCACCACAACCTCCTCACTGGCTTCTGTGGGCCCTGAGCCAATGGTGGGCCCTGGGCCCTGAGCCAGCTCAGTGGTCTGAGTCTCTGTGGCACCCGCAGCAGCATCAGTCTCTGCAGGACCTGATGCCTGGGCAACATCTGCGGAGGAGCCTTTGACTGCCATTGCGAACTCGATGGTCATGCCAAACCTTTTGCCCTTGTGCCAAACTGCTCAACCCAACAAGTAGACTCGATGGTCATGCCAGCAGTGCAAGAAGCTGAAAAAGTAAATGGCTTCAACTCTCAAGTCCCTAAAGCAATGACAATCCCTGCGTTCTCCAAA